TCTTCCTGGACACAAACTACATCTTTCCAGTGTGGATGAGGATGCTGTCCCCTTGTGGATGATGCTCACAGTCTTTAGCTGCTGCCTGCAAAACTGAGCACTGCCCTTCAGCCAGTTTAAGGTGGTGTCTGGTGCAGTGCATTCATTTAGCATTACTAAAGGACAAAATTAAGGTTCTTTTTGTATCTCATGCCCCTGTCAGCTAAATCTTTCCCAGAAAAGAGGCAAAGCTGAGGTCATTTTTTTCCATCTGTGAGGGGTCAGTGACTGCAACAGTCGTTCCTGGCTGAGGCATAAGCCTGTGAAAAGCACCTATACTAGCAGCTGAATCATTTTCTAGGCCAATTTTTTATGTTTCAACTAATGAAAACAGCTGGGTCATTAAATCCAGCAATCGATCTCCAATTATAACCTGTCTTGGACAGCACGGCGCCCTGCCCCGGCAGGTGCCCTCCCCGCAGACAGACCCCCAACCTCAGCCTCTGCCTCTACCCTGAGACACCAATTTGCTGCCCCATCCCACACCCACTTTCTTGCTTTTCTAGGAGCACAAATTCCTCCCCAAAATATCACTACCATGGCACGGGGGCTAATTGTGCTATCCAGCGTTCACGGTGCTGTGAGGACTGAGGCCACCGTACGTTCGGTCTTTCCAGCTGAGAAGCAGATCTATGGTTAAAAAAGGTGTGGTTCTGCTTGGAAACAGAGGCAGTGTGTGCAGGCAGTGATGTAACTGTAAATCTACCGGGGTTTTCTTTCACTATTATTATCTGAGTCTATCAACAGAATAAATCAAATTAAAGTGACCAAAATTCCGGATACCTGCTAGCTGGATTCTTTCTTTCCTCCTGAGAAAGTGAGAGTACGATATGTGGCAATTGCTGGAGCATTTTTATGAAAAGATTTTCAATCTTTTCAGGGTCTGCACAGGAATAAAAAAAAAAAAAGTTAAATGGTTGACATTTAATCTTCATACAGAGAATAATAATTACAGGCAAGAATTTAAAGTGGTTTTGCTCATAGTCAAACCTGATGGTTCTTTTCTCCTTGCATTTCATGAGGATTTACTGTACTGTGGATGCAAAATGTAAATGATGGGCAATTCCGTGAAATTCAGGCATGCACACAAAACTGTCTTTCCAACTTTTTCACACTTACCCTCAAACTGAAAATGGATTTTCCTGGTGGCTGATTAACCAGAAATGAGTTGTTTCTAACTAGATTGAGGGGAGGAGGGTTCTGTAATATTGGATTAGTGAAAGGAGTGAACAGCTTCAGTTTAATTCAACTAGTCTTCTATTTTTAATCTCCAAGGAAACAGCTGACTTGAATGTTAATTAAACAGCAGTCTTTGATCCACCCAGCCACTCCCGGAGGCATAATAATAATATATAAGGGCACAGCAGCAAATGTATAATAGGTACATTTAAAGGAGTGCATCTAATCTCACCATATTCAGATTTAAAACATTCCTTGCTGACCCACTCTTCTGTTATTTAAATAGAGGAAGGGGAAAAGAGGGGAAAATGCTAAGTGAGTTAAACTTTGATGGTCTGAAGGTAGGGCAGCAGAGCAAGTGTGAGTTCCTGTTTTGAGGATGTATAAGGGTTAATGATTAGAAGAGTGGAATCAGGAAAGACCTTAAGCCCAGATCTATGACAGTGGTAATTGAGCTGATTGATTACGACATCTCGTTTCAGACGACTATTGATTTAATCTAGTCTGCAGTCCCATTGGCCCCAGAGGTGCTCCCGAGTGAGGCTCAGCACTTGAACCTGGGTACTCTTCCCTACTCAGTGTCTGGATATAAATTTCCAGAATCTTGCAACCATTTATAATTTTCACTCATCTTCTCATGCTTTTATTCAGAAGCTTCTAATTTCATCAGGCTAATGTTTTTAACCGTTGAGGGGACAGACGCAGGGAACATGAAATGGCACAGACTGAAAAGGGTGGGTTTTTTAAAAAAAAAAAGGCAAGGCAGAGAGCCGGGACTATGTGGCTAGTATTTGCATCTGTTGTTTCTGATTCGCAGAGCTAGCAAAGGCTGCTTTTGGAGGCAGTCCACAAAGCTGGGCTATCAGTAGGCAGTTTGCTGTACGCGCACGTTCAATTATTAAAATAGTAGACTTTTTTTTCTGTCTGATAGCCATAGCGAGGTCATGACATTAATTTATCCAGGGTATTGTGGGTAACTATACAGAAAAAAAGCATAAAGGGCACAGATGCTGGAGCAGCAAAAAATGGATGGGTCTGAGCAAAAGGAGATTAAGAGGCGATGACCAATCTAATGTACGTATAGCAGTAAGAAGCCGGCATCCGTCACAGACTGTTGATGGCAATAAGTATTTTAAGCCATGCTGTGCATGTGGTAATTTTTTATTTTTTTTTTTTATACCTCAGTAAATGCTAAGCTGAATGCTGTAATCCTGTATTTTTTCAGTTTCCCAAATCTGATTTTGGTCTTGTTTTTGTTGTCTCATGCTTGGCGTTCTTCGCTCGCTCTCTGTCTGTGGGTGTGTGTCTGTCTCTGTCTCTCCCTTTTCACTGAGATTACAAACTTAACTGTTTCCTAATTGTCTACTTTCCTCCATCCTTTTCCTAAGAAATTAATTGCCATCACCACGGCCGGTCATAAGCGCGTACTAACTGGGCTTAGGGCGTGTGCCCCGGCGTTTTGGCTTTCTGTCTTTACTTCGAGGCTGCGCGGTGTTTTCTTTTGGACCTTTCCTGCAAGTGGATGCCCTTCACCTTTGCTGCTGCCTTAAGGTTGCCAAAACCTGGCTACCTGAGCCGGGACTGCGGTGCAGCACTGCATCCTGGGACCTGCCTGCCCGGCTACGCCGAGTGCTTCTACGGCACCAGGCAGCTCTGAGAATTGGCTGGCGAATTGCGTATCACCTGTCCCCCCCCTCTGGTAAATAATTTTTATACCGCGAATCACAGTGGTGTGGTATTGTCTGGAAAAGTAATTCCCAAATACTGTTGGCGTAAAAAGGGAAAAGCCGAAAGACTGTCAACACCGTAAGTCATTAAAGTCCCTTGCCTTAAGAACAAAGGAACAAGGTAAAACTGCACACAATAATTATGCTCTGTGGATTTTCATAGCCTGTCAGACAACTTGTGCCTGTGTTTCAGTTATCAGCCTTTGTGCTTTGTTTTGTGTTGTGTATTTTATGTACTTGTCTTGAGTTTCTGTGTGTGTGTGTATTTGGTGTACGTGTATGTGTTCAGGCTTCTCTACCAACACGGAGCAAATACCATACAGAAAAAATACACAAGTGTAGCTCAAACATGCATTTTCAGGACTCAGTGTGGTGGTGAGGGTGTATTGCCATTGTTCTCTCACAGTGCTCTCTCTGACGCAAGCAGCTTCTATTTTATATTTTATTTTAATTAAGAAGTCTAAAAAATTAAATAAAAAAAGAAAAGAGAAAAAAAAATTGCTTAGTCCAGTTAAATGCCAATTGAAGTTCAGAAACTCACGGTTTCAGCACAGTGAATGGTGATTCAGACCCTGGCAGGGTTTTGGCTATGAGACAATTCCTACTTATAAAGAGCACAATGAAGGGGGGGAAAGATAGCATTAATTTTGAGGAAGATTAATATTAGTCTTTTAATGTTCATTATTTTCTGAAGAAGTGAATCCTTGTAGCTTTTGAGAGCTAGTATGTCCTTCCCACTGGTATTTATTCGAGCAAAGGAAAAAATGAAGAAGGCGTAGAATAAACTCCTAAGACTGTTCAAGAATTACTGGCATTATTTCTCTCTACATCACGTGTGAGCCTGGGTTGCCTGCTATTCCTGAGGCAGAGGATCGAGGATGAAAGTCTGTGTGTCAGAGCCTGTTTTCACAACTGCATTTGGAGATCTGTCTTATTGATTAGGAAAAAAAGGGGGTGGGAATAGGAGTGTGAGGTGAGGGGAGGACCGACTGACTACTGGCTTATTGCAGCTCAAGACATTTTCTTCCGGAAAGATGTCAAACAACTGAGACACAGCAACAGAGGAAGTAGAAAGGTGGAAAAATAAGAAGAGGGACCCTTTGGAAGAAATGAAGGCATTCCTTATGAGAGCCTTGAGGTTTTTTGGTTTTTTTTTTTCTTCTAACATCTGACCCACAAGGGCTAGAGTGACAGCGTCATGCAAATACTGCAGTCCAGCAGGTCTGAGAGAGGGTGGATGCTAGAGAGTGAGTTAATGTTAATGATGAGTGCAGTGAAAATACCAGCCGATACCACCCCCTCCACACACAACTGCTCTGAGTCAGCATCCGCTGCTTTGCCTTGCCTTTTTGTGCGTGTGTGTGTGTGTGTATGTGCGCGCGCATGTGTATGTGTGTGTGTGCGTGTGTGTGCTGGTGACTGTGTGTGTGCATGGAAGGTAAAGCCAGTCAGTCAGTGAGAAGCAAAGGTACGTTCGAGAGCAACTAAAATCTGACTGATTTCCATCTTCAGAGCATCAGATGTATTCCCTAAAGAGGATGGGTCTATGCGATGGGGGTGGTATAATTATGTTAATGTCATATTTATAGAGGGGAGAGATTTTTCATTCTAATTATTGATTTGAAAGCTGTGGTCAAAATTGTTTGTTAAATCATGATCAGCTTTAAAAAAAGAAATTGAATGAAATCTAGGGGCTGCTATACATATATCTCTCTCTCATATATATATATATTTTGTTTCATTTAACTATTTTGTGTCTGAGGCATAACTGATTGAATGGTGCACAGTGACAAAGAAACGGCTCTTATATAATGTTGCATTATATCATCAGCTGAAATAATATTTTAAATAATCCAAAATGTTCTGAAATCTGAAGTATCAGTGTGGAGGGGAGGGTGAAGGGCAGGGGTGGGGGTGGGGGGCACTGGCAAATCTTTTCTTCGGCAGAGCACTCTGTACAGCTTTCTTGTAAATGGATGATTCACCTGTTCGACCAGCAGAGATTCTAATTCTTCCCCCCCTCTTCTCTTTTTTTTTTTTTTTTCCTTTTTAAAGCTGAACGGCTTCCCGAAGAGCACTGAGTTTTCTATGCCAGATTCTGCTCCAGTGGCTAGGACCTTTATGGCTGCTGTTTCTTTTGCTCTGGGATCTGATGGAGAGAAAAAAAAAATAAAAAAAGCCACGGTGGATCTTGTCCCTAAAGTAGAAATTTTCTTTTTCATTCTGCAAACAAGGCTAAAGATCGGAGGAGAATGAATGCAAAAGTAATTCAGGACTGTGGTTGTGCCATTAAAAGTGTTCGGCTTCAGAACAAAATTATTCGGGAAATCCGAGCATTTCTTCTTACTGTATCGACAGTATTTGAAAGTTATGTGTGCTTTGAGTAATCTGGTTCAAGTGACAACAATCTCTGCATGTCAATGTTTTCTGCAGCTTATGGAGTAAAGTATAGTTTTGCCATTGGAAAGGAAGAAGCTTTTTGTAGCAGTCTGTAGAAGGATTAAATGTTGAACGTGGGGAAGAGGCAAAAAGTGAATACACGCCCAAAGGTTATCCTTGCATCGTGAATGGGTTTAAAGTACTCTGCAACCCAGGGCCCACCTGAACAGTAGGACTGAAAGTATAATGGGGAAATATTTCAATTAGAACCCCCTTGACAAGCATTTAATCCTTCTTTCAGGCATTAAAGAAAATATAATAAAATTGTTACTGTACAAAGCAGATTTTAACCCGTTTATAGAGGCTTCCCTCAGATGCATTATAATAATATGGCTGCTTGCAAGATGAGGCAGTGAAGATTTTTTTCCTGTGTTCTTTGTTTTTTCTTTTCAAAAGTTAAGGACTATACTCTCAGAAAAGTCTGTTCGGTCAGCTGATACATTGTTTGAATGTATGTATGCGTCTTGCCTGCTTATTTGATCTTTTCTGCCCCCTACTTGAAACTGTGGTTTGTTTATCTGGGGGGAAGGAGGGGTTGTTGATTTGGGGGGGATGTTGTTTTTAGGGGGTTTTTGGGGGGGTTGGTTTTTTTTTTTTTTAACAATAGCAGTGAAAGTTTTGCTGACAGCGGTTATGACTACTAAGCAATTCAGTTTATTGGAAGACGAATTCTACTGGACCATATCGGACTTTTCCTAGTCCCTGAGACCCTAACTTGTGAGGTTTTTTAGCAACAATCACAAGTCAGGCTCTTGGGACCTAGGCGGAGGGGAACCAGCAGCTTTGGACTGTGATTGTTTCTCTGCAGAATTTAGAGAACCAAAGGAGCTTTCCTTGTCTCGAAGGGTAAAAAGGAAAAGATACCTATTTCAAATGTTAAGCAACACAACTGTTCCTAAAAGAAAAAAGAAAAAAAAAAATCTAAACAACTGTTATCCATTGTACAACATTAGGAAGTTACATATTTATGTGTTTAGAAAACTGAACTAAATGCCATGTAACATTTAGAATTAAAATTTAACCTGAATACCAGTTTGCACCCAAAAAAAAGCCCAAACAACAAAAACAACAAAATCCCCCTCTCAAAACTGATACTAAAATATACAAAAGGCTTTCAACCATGATGTTACTATTACTATTATAGAAAATTCTGATAATTATCACAAAGTATAGAGTCATCCTGACTGTTGCAGCATTAACTCTTAAAACATAAAACAAAAACACTGATGTTTGAGGCCTAGAAAACATTCATTCTATTGTTTGAATAATGATTTCAGTCTACAGGAAAACTGTTGCTTAGCTTTTCCTGTAACATGAGACAAAGAGTATTTTGTAGTTAATTGCCATCTTTTTTCTTTGTCCAAGTGAAAACACAATATGTCATTTAAAATATTCTCTCATTTAATTTACATTTTAATCTGAGATGGAATATTGGTTTAAAAATCATACTACAGCATTAAAATCGCTTTGCACCCAGAATCACTTTCTTGTACCTGTTCAACTTAAAATGAGCCACCAGTACTCTAAGTACTAGACCCAGCTTCTAACTTCTCCATCACTTTTTGCATTTTTCACCCCTCTGACAAAAAACAGTGTGAGCTTTAGGTTGTCCCTCATGTGTTAAGTACTTCACTGACTTTGCATAAGAAGATTCACAAGCACACGAGGTATTTCACAAGCACACTGTTCATTAAACTCAAACTTCCTATCTACAACACAGAATATGATTTGTATTTCTTAATATTTTATAGGTGGTGTAGTTCTGAGTAATTTTTCTCTGTTTCCTGTGTCTAACCAAGATGCTGCAAGACCTTGTTGATACATCAGACTTCACTGAAACAAAGACTTCACACAGATCAGGCATCTAAACTATTTGTTCATTTCAGAAGTGGTATTTTGGCTGCAGTATATTTTTTCCACTTGCGTGGGAGGAATTGTGTTTTATTGTAAGCATCAACACTATTGTTAAAATAAATGGTTCTTATCTGTTAGTATAATACTTTTTCTTCTTGTCTTGTTTTCTTAAGAGACAGAAACTGTGCGCTGTACATAGTTTTCAAGTTGCTCAAGATATAATTAGTCTTTAAATAGTCATAAAAATATTGCCTTAGCAATTACAATGATGATACAGTTCCTGTAAATATGCAATTCTTTTCTTCGTAAACTGTCAGTCCCACATGCTAAGAACACCCAAAAGAGCGACTTGCAAAAATTTAGATACAGACGTAACTTTTTAACACAGACATGATATTCAACATTGACTTCTGTTTAGGCAGTATTGGAAAAGTCAATCTGAATGTGTACAGGAAGGGCGGACTCACCCAGCTAGGTGCTACACTCCTCAAGCCCTTCAGTAGCAATTGACATGTGTTTTTTACAGCAGTTTTCAGTCCTGAAAACAGATTATTTAAGATACTGATCAGCTGAACAGGTATTCTGTTCATTCAGGCTGCATAATGAGATAAAACCATATTGCGTGTTGGTATATACATGTCAATATGCAATTTAAATTACGCATAGTATTTATCAGAATAAAAATCCATATAGATTTAATCAGCTATACTGTGCACATGTCTATGCATATTAAAGATTTTCATTGCATTTATTTTTCAATCGGCAAAATTTACTTGAATGAGGATAGTTCACATTCAGCACTCTGAATTTGCTTTGCATTTAACACTGTGAGTGCAGCGAAGGTGAAACTCTAGTGTGAAACATTTGGTCTGTCAGTCTGAAGATTTCAACTATGCTCTGCTCTGCACTGAGAGTGAGAAGATAATGAATTATTAGAAACCCCTGCCTAGTGTATTTGGTGCTACAGCAAAAGCTGTAATTATACAGTCCTACCTCTGCACTACTGCTTGAACTGGGATGACTCCAATGGCTCTACTCTGCCCATTGTACTCAGTGCTGCCCCTTGCCATAGAGATGAAAAAGTTGGTGCATTGCCTTCCTCTTTTCCTCCTCTCTCTTCTTCCCCAGTCTCAACACAGCCAAGCCAACCTCAGGTACACAGGTAGGACAGAAGTGGATGAAGGGGAGGGAGAATCACGATCTCCACTCGGGCAAAATTCCCAGCAAGGCGAACAAGATATAGTTCTGGGGCTATGTGACAATGCCTACAGACACCATACAGAAAGCAGTCTTATTTACCCTGTGACAGTATATGAAGGCTGTCTCTATTAGCACAAATAAATAGAAAGCATCATCTTCAATATGCTATGCTTAGATATATGTACAGAATTTCAATATAGTCTCATTTCTATATGACTTGATGTTGTTTCAGTGCAAAATGCATTTAAATGCTATTTAATATGTGATTTCAGAGTAATCAGCTTGTGCTACAACAAAAACAAAAAACCAAAACACAAGCTCTTGCAAAGGGGGAGGAAGAGAGAGAGAGAGAGTGAAAATGATGTGTGGTGCATACAAAAAAGGAATGATATTAACAATTCGATGAATTCCTAGTTGGTAGACCAGACTGAGCCAGACGCATATATTAACGGCTGTCTGCTGCTGATGTGAGCCTGCTCAATGCGGTGGAAATGAAGGATCACCTAGTCCCTGACACCAGCTTATTTGTACGTTTTAATTTTAAAAAGGAAAATCACTGTTTTACATAAACATCTTAACCCCTACATGATTTTTTTTCTTTTTTCCTCTCTCATATTGTTTGCTAATTTACTGTCAACTTAAAGTGCTGTTTAGCTACAGCCCAACAAAAACATCAGTCAAAAAGCAGAGGGAAGTGTTAGCTTCTCTTTTGTCTGACATGTACAATTGAGTTATTATTATGATAATTGTCTATTTTAATTTTTAGTCTTCATGGGAGATGCAACAATTTTCCAGAGCTTCATTTTGGAAGCATTTTAAGTTTCAACAATATGCCGTTTCATATTTAACTCAAACAATAAAATTAAAAAAAAAATGCTTATAGCTCAAGATGGGGTGATTTGATCAATTCTTTTCATTAACCTGAAAGTCTTTAGCACCTTAATATAATATCACATGTATGGGGCAGGATTCCTTTTCAAACCACATAAACTCTCGGATCCATTAATACAGTGCTGAAGACTGTTACATGAGTCAAGGGAATTCCACTCCAAGTTAATTACTGTTGGAATTAGAGGAAAGAATATTTTACTCAAAGTTGTATAACAAGAATCTACAATTATCACATTTCAGGGCATTGCTCTGTTCATTTGATGAAAAATGTCAATGAAGTTTAACAGAAGATGTTCTGCCTTTCCATGGGTAATGAAAATCGGCACGTTCACAATAAGCTAACACAACATTTTCAGTGTGTTAATATGCAGTGCAGAAGAAAATTCTGTAGGCAGTAAATGTAGCCATCATTTTGATTTGCCCGTGTGATGATTAGGCTCAATTCCTGAGTGGGTACATAATTTCACACTGAAAAGCAGTCATCTCCTCTTAGGGACCAACTGTAGCCTACCAAGAAAAAAAAAATTAAAGAATTAAAGAATGCCTGAGGTCTATAACTAGCTAGGCAGTCAGATAGATACAGACAATGGGGAAAAAATATCAGGAATATTATAAAAGTGCTAGCTGAAACTGTATCACTTGATTATAAGTTGGTTTATTTTATTATGTTCATTTAAAGTATTTTTGTCCAAACAATGTATCTGAGACATTCATCACCTTGTTAAAGTTTTTCATTGTTTGATTATTACAATAGGCATTTTCAGAGTTTGTTGGATGCTACGTCGTTCCATTCCTTGGCAACACTTGAATTATTCTTACACGGTGAGTCCAGCACTATTGACTGATGTGCAAAGCTATGCTTTAATTGCAGTGTCTGAGTAGCAACAAGTGGATGGAATATGGAAGCCTTGGAGACTAAGAGAATGTAAGATTAATGAGATCAACACTGATAAAATTATTTCATCTTTATAAACGTCTTTAACCTATTAAGGAGGATTTAAAATTAATCATAGAATCATCCAGTTGATTATAGACTAAAGTTTATCTAGTAGGCTTTCAGAAATGCAATTTTTATGCCTGTTCCTACTTATTTAGGAGTTAAGGATTAGTTGTAATTGTGTGATAAACTAGATACGGTAATGATACTTTGAACACTATGAATATCCTATAGAGAAAAAGGCAGATAATATTCTGTACTTTCCTTTTACTCGTTAGCTGTTGCACCGGGGCCGTGATTCTCTTCAAGGAGCATATTCATTTATTTAAATGGCCAAGCAAATCAACAAGGTTGTGCTGAGTAGTTTAGGGCTGGTAATTTTGGTTTTGGTTTTGGGTGGTTTTCTTCCACCACCACCACCCCCAACTTCTTTTCTTGGATGTGTGCGTGTCATGCATGGGAAGGTATGAAGGAAAAACAGCTATTCAGCAGAGACACGTCCCACCCCTTTAATTAAGCTTTTCCCGGACTATGTAAAAACACTGGCAGTGTGTAAATCCCATTAGTGTGTTTGTTATTATTATTTTAGCAGATTCCCAAGTATTATATTAAGTTACCTCAGTGATGAAATACATATGAAAATATGAAAATAGTTGCATTAGTAAGTCAGTGGATACCGAAAGGGTTGGATGGCATGGGCACAGTGCCAACTGGAAGATTTTTTTTTCATTTAATTCCTTTCACCTAGTAGGCTCCTTAAGCATTAGGCAGAACCCAGTATGTGGCTAAGTTATTGCTCTAGTGTTCATCACACAAAAAGCACAGTCTTAGCATTTGTAAATTTTCTTCAGGGAGGTTTCTAATCTAGACAGCATTTGCGTTTGGGGATTACACCACAATCTGTTCCCCACCACCTCCCCCTCTAACATGTAGCCCTTTCAACTTCTTCAAAGAAGTGGGGAAAAGTAGGTTCTTTTATTAATAGCAGAAAACAAACCGACTGCTGGACTTCCGTGGCAGAGCTCACATAATGCGGCAGGGTGGGAACTGTAACAAAGAATGCTTGAATGCACTAAACGTATAGTGAAACCCCATTTACATTCACTGATGGGGCTTAAAGTACAATAAATGAGAAGTTTAAAGTAGAAATAAGCAGGGCCATGAAAAGACTTCAGTGAAGGTAAATACTTCTTGAAAAGTTTAGCAGAGGATTTAATTTCAAACTCAAGCCTTTCCTAGTAGAATGCATTTCTTCATAATGCGTCCCTTCACTCAGAGCATCTCCATCAGATGGTGGTAAATCAGATGGAGTATCTTCAATGCATAAAGAAGTAGATTCTGTTTTCCCAATTTATATACTGATTTTCATACAAGTGAGACAGTTGGCAGTGGAAAAGTCTTCATGGTTCGCTGTCTGTTCCCCTGTACTCTCTCTCCTCTACAAACTGCCTTTGAAGTGTAAGGAACAACTTTGTGTCTAGAAATAAATTTGATTGTGGGATCTTACCATAATTTCTAGCTCTCTCTACTTCTAAAACATTTCTGCCCATGTTGGTATAGATATGCTGAAGAACTGGACAAGTTTGTTGCTTTCTCTCTAAAGTTATTCCGTGAAATAGATTCACAATATTATTACTGCATAACTGTCACCTCTCCCCTTTTCTTCTCTTCCAATATGGTGATCATCTCTCTGTTTTAGCCCCTTCCACAGCCCCACTATAGGGCCCTACAAGATTCCAGCTTTGTTATCCTAAGAGTTTAAATTAGCCTTGCTCCCACTTTTTGCATTTGTCTTCACAGTGGTCCTTCATCCTGAATATGAAGGATGTATAAATCACCCCTACTTGTAAATTTTTGCAGAATCTGCCTCTCCTCCCTTGGTCCTGTTCAGAAACAACAAACTGTCAGAGGTTCTGTTTTCGGTTGCTAGTTGCAGTTTTTCAGATAAAGGTCAACTTCTTGCTCCTTTTGGAGCATAATAGCCCTACTCTCTGCACGATCAGATCAGAGGTTCATTTGTGGACCATCAGATTTAATAACTGTGATTTGGGGAAGGTGGGCTATGGAATAACTTTCTGCTGCACTCTTCAGCAGAGGTAGTTTCTGCTTGTGATGTG